ATATATATATATATATTAACTTGTGAGTTTTTTCGAGGATTTTAAAAAAAGATTTGAATGGTTAAAAGTGTTTCATTTATCAGTATCAAAGTCCAACGAAAATTTTTTAAACTTTATAACATACTCTACACCGTCTATTTAACTTTTGATGGTTAGAATTAATCTTGAACTCTTTATTCCAAAGATAAACAGTCTTATAATATACAATTTCTTTATCCACGTAAATCCTTGAATGTGAATATTGTATTTTAATTTTTTTATTATTCTATAAAATAGATTAAGCTAAATTTTGGGCTTATATATATTTCAACATTATGCACTTGAAAAATATTAGTAAAATAATAATTTAATAAGACAAATAACCAAAACAACAACAAATTCTTAGTGTTTGGGCTGAATGGGTTAGCCATGACGTCAAGCAAGGTACATCTTGGATTCGAATTCTATAATTGAACTACCACAAAAAAAAATATATATATATATATATATATAATGAGACTATTGACCTTTAATACAAAGTGGTCACAATTAATCTTGACCATTAAATGTGAAGTTGGGTGCCTATATTTATTTTATTGATCAAATTTAAAATTTAAAAGAAAATTTTTTGAACTTTGTTACACATCAAAACTATCAAATTTCAAATTAGATGGTTGTATATAATTGTAACTTCCCTTTACCAAAATAAATACCCTCATTATATACAATCCTAAAAAAAAAAAAACCCAAGATGTCAGGCTCCTAATTGTTGAGTTGACTATAATTTTTAGCTTGTGCATTGTAATAGTTGAAGTCGCCCTCTATATTATTTAATGGAAAAGAAAGAAAACCAAAACAAAATTATGGTCTTCATTGCGGGGTCAATCCCGGAGAGGGCCCATGCTTCGATTTATTGGAATACTCCGCCCCTAAGAACCGACCTAATTTCGTGGAAAGAAGCATCTGGAAAATCTGACCGTTTCTTCTCCCATTTTGTTTTTTAAGATGTTTTTACGTGTCGTGACATGGCCGTCTCATTCTATCTCCCCAATTATATTGGTAGCCTAGAAAATGACGCTATATAAAATGATAGCCTATAAAATAATTCGTAAGGAAGGGCAGGAATAAAAGAGAAAACAACACGTCCTGCCCTTTGCCTTTAAACCAATGGTTTAAAAACCGGATAGGTGACCCGGATCGGGCTTTTCAAAAA